CTGCTGGAAAAAGAAATGTAATACACTGTAAAGTTATGTGTGATTCAATATATTATAAACAAGATGATGATAATAAATAAATAAATACAATTTTAAAATGAGTTAGTGTTATCTAAAAGTAAGCAAACTACCTTTCTATTATTAAGTATTAATAATTTGGCAGCAATTTTTTGCATATTTAATGTCCAGGATACAAAGTGAATGTCTCAGCTCATTTGGTGTTTAAAAACTGCAGGATCAATTTTGCACATTTCTAACAAATTCAAGTTGACCTTCAACTCAGGTAAGTAAGAAAAAAATAAGAGTATTTTATTTTTCCATAATTTTAATACTTTTTTCACATTCTTTTTTTTTTTTTTTTTGAAGAGGTTTTTGCTATAGGGTGCGTGCGCTCGCCAGAAAGACAGAGAGAAACAGAGACAGAGTGCGAGAAATCACCCCCCAGGGGGGATGGCTACACCACAATCCCTTCTCCTCCATTCTCTTCTCGGGATCTTGGGCACACACGCACACACGCCTGGCGTGAGTTCTAAGCCACTGGGTCCAGGACGTGAACTGCGGTCGACTATGTGGGAGTCCAGCGACATAGCCATTATGCTAACTGCTGGTTCCCTCACATTCTTTATAATGCTTCAAGTCTACATTAAGTAATAATGTCATTTTATTGTACATAACTTCAAAGAGTTTTGTCCTTCTAAAATGTTATTTATTTATTTTTATTTTTTGGAGAGGTTTTTGCTATAGGGTGCGTGCGCTCGCCAGAAAGACAGAGAGAAACAGACACAGAATGCGAGAAATCACCCCCCAGGGGGGATGGCTACACCACAATCCCTTCTCCTCCATTCTCCTCTCAGGATCTTGCACATGCGCCTGGTGTGAGTTTTAAGCCACCACATCCGGAATGCGAACCGCGCTGTTGACTTCATGGGAGTCCAGCGACATAGCCATTACGTTAACTGCTGGTCCCCTAAAATGTTAATTTTGAAAAGTAGTATTTTAAAAATTTACCAAAGGATGCATCTGCTCACCTCAGAGAGACAGAGAGAGAGAGAGGGGAATAGAGGGAGAAAGCATCCCTTAGTAGGGCATGGTCATGCCACAGTTGCTTCTCCATTTCTCTGCCATTTTGGGATTGGGGGTGTATGCATGCTTTTCAAGCCACAAGGGCCAGGATTTGAGTGCTGGACAGTCATGTGGGCTCTGGCTTCCTTAATCATTGTACAGGTCCATTTTGAAAAGTAGTTATATGCATAAAAATATCATTATAAAATTATCTCCTACTAGACATTTTACTTAACTACCTATGGCCTATACGTAATTAAACAAACATTAATGAATAGGAATGTAACATAAAATGTAATGTCATGAATGCTATTCTGTGAATTTTGTTAATGCTAAAAGGCTTACATGTAGCACAAGAGAGGAAAGAAATAGAGAGAAAAAGCACTCCCCAACCAGGCCTGGTCTTGGTGAAATTCTTTTTCCTTCATTTCTCATCCCTTCAGCATCCTTGAGCAAACATGTATGCACCCAGTGTGTTTTTCAGCCTACTTTGAAAATTTCAAAGAAAAGTGTGTCCATGTGTTCATGTAGTTATAAAGGAGTGCATGAGAAAGTGCCACTCACTCTGAGTGAGGTCCGGAACACTCAGACCCACCCAGAGTCCTTTCTGAGTCACCAGGAGTCACTTCCTCTACAGAGCCCAGGCCCCTGGAAGCTGCAGTGTCATCTAGGGTTTGCCATGCTCTAGTCCAAGAGTCAAAACCAAGATGTGTCCCAACTCCAGGAGACAGGTGCACACACCATCAGCCTCTGACAGGGAGACAGACCCCCAAGAGGAAGGCGGCATTTACTGGGAGCTGCCGACTACGAGGGCATGACTGCTGCCATGCTAGGCCGAACTCAGGAGGTCAGGGCAGTTGAGGTTTTGAAGAAGAAAAATGAGTGATACAAGGTGTTCAGGACAACTGTCCTTGGCTACCAGGACCAGTAATGAGAGTGACATCAGGCCCAGGATGAGCAGGGAGTCCCCAGGCAGCTGTCCCCACAGAAGCTGTCCTACAAGGTCCCAGCAGTGCTTGTGCAAGGTTGTGGTTCTTGAAGAGTCCTTGTGACAATTCTTGTTTTCTGGCATATCAGAGTGACAAACACCTTGTACATGGCCTTCGCAGACTCCCTTGGTCAGGATTAAGGCACGTTGACAATGACTATTTTAATTTGACAACTTTCACGCCGACAGTGTACACACCAACTCTGTACCTGCTCGCCGCCAAGGAGGGAGGTGGGAAAGCCTCTCTTTATGGAAGAAAATGAAAACGTTCTCTCCTTGTCAAGAGCTTTCCGGTGATGAGCTTCTCCAGACCTGCCACCACGGCCCTGTTTCGCAGGCTGTATGTGACAGGGTTAAGGGACAGGGGTAGCATGACATAAACAGCAGAGAGAACGAGGTCGGGGGAAGGGAGAGGAGGCAGACCCTAACATAGGCTTCAGGTAGGCCACGAAAACGGTTAAGAGGAAAAGGAGGACGACCGCCAGGTGAGGCAGGCAGGTGGCATAGGCCTTGGCCTGCGCCTCGCGGATGGCGTCCTGGTCATCGCCGAGAAGACGCGCACGTAGGAGGCGGCGATGCAGAGGAAGCAACAGGCGTCCAGCGCGGCGCTCACGAAGACCAGCACGGTTTCCGCGGCTACCTGCTTGGAGCAGGAGATAGCCAGCAGCTGGGGGAAGTCACAGAAGAGCTGCCGCAGCTCGCGGGGGCCGCAGGACAAGGAGAACGTGCCGGCCGTGTGCGCAGCAGATGCCACGCCGCTGCCCAGCCAGGACAGGGCGGCCGCCCATGCACAGGTGCCCGCGTCCATGAGGACCGGGTAATGCAGCGGATGGCAGATGGCGGCGAAGCGGTCCACCGCCATCGCCATGAGCAGGAACAGCTCCGAGGCTGCCGAGAATGGCACCAGGAAGACCTGGACGCCACAGACCTGGAGCGAGCTGGAGTTGCGACGGCGCAGGGAGTTGGCGATGGTTTTGGGCACCCCGGCAGAAACGAGGCAGAGGTCGGACAGGGAAAGGTTCCTAAGGAAGAAGTACACGGGCGTGTGCAGGCGGGGGTCCAGGCTCATCACCGCCAGCACCAGGACGTTCCCCAGCAGCGCTGCCAGGTACAGCGCGGCGAGAGCCCCCGCCTGCAGGACCTGCAGCCCCCGCGGGCCGGGAAGCCCGAGAGCAGGAATCCGGCCGGCTCCGAGACGTTGCCCACGCTCGGCGCCGTCCTGCGTGGAAGGAAAGAAGCCTGATCAGCGGGGCGCGCTGCCCGGTCCTGCTGTCCATGCCCAGCCACGAGCCGCGTGCGCGCGTGCGCGCGTCCAATAATGGCTCCAAGTGTGTTGCTCTCCCACCAAAAAACAGAAGCGGGGCGGCCGCTCTGTGTTCCTGACGTCTGACGCGGTCTCTGTGGGTGTCGCTGGTGCTCTGCGGTCCGTGGTCCCTAGCGAAGG